CTCAAGGTATAGTATAGAGCTTATCAGGAACTTTTGCGGTATGGAGTTTAGGATTTAGGGTTTGAAGTTTAGGGTTTGGGGCCGGTACTGAGTATAGAGGCCTGATCTTAAGGCTTAGGGTTTGGCGTCTGATTGAGGAGCTTACAGTCTTACAGGTGGCTCGAGGAAGCCAGAAAACCTAGTATTTAACAGCACCAGCAATGGTTTAGGGTTTAGGAGTACCCACAGAATCCCACATAATGATCCCTGCAGCCCGTGCAACTTCCCTACTTGCCATTTCGAAGGTTGGGCTGCCATGGTTTAGGGTATGGTGTTTAGGGTGCTCTGAGATAAGGTTTAGAGTTTAGGGTATAGGGTGTAGGGGTCTTTGGGACAAGGTTTACGGTTTGGGATATAGGGTTTTTAGGGCTTAGGGCACGTTGGGATAAGGTATAGGGTTTCGGGTTTAGAGCACTTTGCGATGGGGGATAATTTTCCCTATTCTGGGGTTAGGGAACCTATTCATAAATGACTGCGGGGGACTGTAAAGTACCACCCAGCCAGGTGTCAATTGGAGGGGTGTGAGCGTTGAAGGCTTTAGGCGCCGAGAGAGACAGAAACAAGTCCCCTCTGGATGGCTCAAAATGGACATCAGACGAACACTCGAGATTCATGATGTGGAGCAACCTTTTGAAAGCCCCTACTGTAGGCACCAAAGCTAGAATTGTAAGGACAAATCTAGAAGCTAGACCTAGATCCTGAAACCCCAAAACCCTGAAGCCACAAGACCCTCCAAATCCTAACCACCAAACCAAGTCAAAGGCATCTCTTTGACGCCCAGCCGCTCGCAGATGTGCGAATGCGCTGCGCCGGGACAGTATCCGGTGCCCAGGCTCTGGGACGGGGATTCGGGTCTAGGGTTGAGGGTGTGGAGTGCAGGATTTACAGGATTTTGGTTTGGGGTTCACATGCCCACAAACTGTTTTAGTGTACTTGGGGGGTCCTTGTCGAGTGTAGGCTTTAGGATATAGAATGTCGCTGCACGTACTTTGGGGGGTCTAGGTAGACCCTGCTCCCTAAACCCTAAATCCCTATTTTGGACACAGGCTACTGTATTTCGCGTTGGAATACTAGTGTATCGGGCGCCTAGGTTGCGGGTGTGGTCTCCATGGAGTTCATGATAGATTGAGACTACCCCTGCATTTTAACTTCAGATGGGATATATGATGGTCGGGGCTTAGGAATCAGGGTTTGCGGCTTTAAGTTTGCAGTGGTATAGTTCTATTCGCGTCCCCCATTGGGTTGCCTGATGATAGTGATGATGATGATGATGATGATGGTGATGATGATGGTGACGAGGATGATGACCATGATGATGACGCTGACGATGACCATGAATATGACGAGCAGTCGGTCAGCAGAGCATCCATGCTCAAAACATAATAGCATTGGTGTTCCATGAGCAGACGGTCACTAGAGCATTTATGCCCAAAGCAGAATGACGTTCGTGTTCCAAGAGCATACGGTCACGGAAAAATGGGGACATCAACGAAACTCGAGCAGTTTACAAATAGAACCTAATTGCATTGGGCCCTCAAGTCTCTACAAACATTACCTGCATTTGGCTGTTTGGAGCACTATAGGGTAGGGTGGTTAGCCGGACACGGAGGCATAATCCTTGTAGGGATCCTCACTCATTCCCTTTTTAGTCCAATATCCCATTCCTTCAGTTGATACCGGCCAAGCTAGGGATTTCATGAAGGTGTTCTTGGCACAGTGTAGGGTTGAGGGGTTTAGTTCAGCTTTGGACCTGGGATACTGAATGGGATTTACTCAGAATACTCCCTACACGATCCTGAAGAGTGACCTCCGTAGCCCCCCAAACCCTACATTGTGCTCCAAATCCCCAAGCCCTGAACCCCAAAACCCTAATCTCGGGCGCCTATTCTGAGAATCCGCCACCCTAAATCCTATACAGACCTCAATGTTCAAATCGATGGATGCCAAGACCGGGTTTAGTGTTTCGGGTCTTTTGTACACCTGTTGTGAGTCCTGTGGTCCCAATTACACAGTTTTCTTGGCTAGAGGGCTAGTATTACCAGACTGTACATAATCCGGATAAAAGGGAAACCTCTACGCTTCACACTAAACCTTACACCCCAGACCGGAAACTCGGAACCCCAGATCCTAAATCCCGAACCCTAAGCGCTACGCTAATCTCCAAAGCAAAACGAGAAAACAAGTGTGCACACACCTTTCGGCCAGAACCCTATACAACTTGCCTAAACCCTTGCCTCTACATCCTGGAGAGGTTTGGTCTCAGATCCAAAGAGAAGGCTGGGCCGTATGCTGCGCTTGTTCAATTATCTTGAGGTGGTTGGGTTGTGAAGTTAGGTACAGGGAAGTGTTGAAGGTTCAAGGGTTTATGTTGTTGGTAGTGGCGAATGAAGGAATGGATTTCTAAAGCAGCTGCACACAATCCCTACACAACCCCACATAGCCCATCCCTCATAGAAACCCATCAGGGAGTGAAAGAGTGGATCCCAAGACAAGTAAGGTTGGGGGTTTAGAGATTTCCTAAAGCGGTAAACCCTAAACCCGTAAACCCCAAACTCTAAAACCTAGAGTTTCCATCTACTTTTCCACTCATGAAAGCCCTACTAACAGATCTGAGGATCAGGGCCCCACGAAGAACAATGTATGTAGTCTTGACAGGCTTTCAGGGCCACAGAAGGTTAGGGATTTTGGCTTAGGGCACGCGCGTCAAGACCCAGATTTAGCGTTTCAGCCTTCAACCCCGGCAAGTTCGTACAGTCCTTGCAAAAGGCGCCTGGAAACCCCTAAATCTGCACCGGAAACCGCTCAACCAGGTTGCTAGTTCCCTTTGTATGGAATTCTGCAAGCCCCAAACCCTAAAGACCACCCTATGCCCCAACTCTAGAAACACAAAGCCTTGAAGCTCAAAGTGTATAAGGAATACCTACTTTGGGCCCTCAAGTCTGTAGATAGTACCTACTCCGAGCTACTTGCGATGCAACCCTAGACCCCAAGCTCCAAGCCCCAAACCCTAAACCCCAAAACTCTAAAACCGGAAATTAAAAACCCCAAACCGTCTAAAGCTTGGCAGGAGTTCACCACGTTATACTTCCCGGCCGCCCTGGACTCCGCGTGGAAATCCTATGCAAAACTCGCAGCTCTAAACCCCAAGCCCTATGAACCCAAAGCTGCCAACCCTGAACCCTGAGTCCTATATGATTCCTAAGCCTTAAACTATAAATCCTAGACCCTAAACCCTAATCTCAAATCCATAAACCCTAACCCCTAAACCCTATGAGAATTGGCCTTCGCTGTTTCATCACATGGGCACTCCTCAGGAGGATGGGGGAGCCCTGTAGTCCCCCTAAACCATCTAAAATTTCGGGTTAGGGGCTTAGGATTTGGGTGTCAGAGGGTTTAGGGTTCCCTTTGTAGTGTTTATACAAATTGTACAGGGTTCAGGTCCGGAGTTTTGACCAGGTTTTCGCCGGGGTTTTGCGGGAGTTTCGGTTTTAATTTTTTGCCTTATTATACAATTTGTGTTTTCCTGGGCTTGAGGGTTTAGGGCTCTGTGTTTAGGCTTAGGCTCACCACACGTACCCAGGAATCCTTAAACCATAAACCTTAACCGCTTACCCTGTCCCCATACCCCTTGAATCATGTGAGCTACTGTCTAGTCTCCTTAAAGGAAGTCATATATCAGGTGGACCCCCCACCCTGTAATAGTGGTATAATAGGAATATAAGAGGCCCCTCATATAATCCTTATTATCCCTCTAGGCTATGTTGGGGATTATCTTGACTGAGGGTTCTTGGGCTCCCCTGACTCCTGAAAGAATAGGATACATGTTTTGCCTTAGTACGAGAGGCTAGGATATCTGTTAGTTAGGCTTCGGCCCTTAGGAAGCTAGATACGGCTTGCGGCTTAGGCCTCAGAAGTTCGGGGCTTAAACTTCGGAGTCCAACCTAGCGGATTCACGCCACCTGGATGCTGCGGACTGCACAAATCCCAGGCACAGCCCCCATGTTCCTGGAGGCTCCTGATATCCTACATGTTGAATCCTGGGCGCTAGATCTTGAACCCTAACTAACCCTAAAGTATGAACCCTAAACCCAAAAGACGTTTAGCTGACCTTAATCACGCTGAGCCGTAAACTATGAAAGTCATCTCGCTTTAGTGCAGGCATTGCTTGACCAAATGTTCCTCATCTGCGAACTTCCCAGACCGCCAAAGGGATCTAGAAATTAGATCCCCTAGAACCATATGGGAAAATATATATGGATTAAATATATAATATATAGGGGGTTATAATGGGTCTACATAGGGGATCTATTTTTTAGATCCTCCCAGGGGTCTGGGTTCCCACTATTGGAGCACCCTTGGAATCATATCAGCTACTGTCAAGATTAGGATTACCAAGAGACCCTGAAGGATGGACAAGGGGGTCCCTTTGGGAGACCCTAACCTGGGTTGCTTTTAAAGAACCTAAATTAAGTTACCATAATGAGTTTTTTCCTCTGCGCAAGGCTTGGTCAGAAGCCCATCAGCACCGACGATCTTTACCATAATGAGTATAGATAGTAAATAATAGGGTTTCCCCAATATAGTAACTTTATTTAAGTTCCTGAACAGCAACCCAGAACTAGGAGGTCATAAGACCGGAACATTGAACTATTCTGGTAAGAGTTCTTGTGGTAAGGAAATTCAGGGCCCCTGCAAGGAAAGCTAATAATCGTGCATGGCCTCATTGTACTACAGTAGAATAATTCTCAACCTATAGTTACTTAGGGCCATGCAGGAATTCTAGTATCCACGCTGAACCATAAACCCTATGCCCCAACCGTAAACCCTCAACCCTGAACCGAACCCCTGAACCCTTAACCCCTAAACCCTAAACCCCTGAGCCCTTAACCCTAAAACCCAAACCCAAAAACCCATGGGGTCCAAGCAAAGGCCCGTCAACCCTTTCTTTGAGTTCCTGACACCTGCAGGGCCAAATTGCGGCAGGCCCGCGCGACGTCGCTGCGGCCGCCATAGCTGAGGCAAACATTAAGCAACAAGCCTCACTCATGCTCAATCACAAGTTAGGGTTTAGGGTTTTGGGTTTAGGGATTGGGGTTTAGGGAGGGGGGAATACTATGTAGATATGTCATATAACCCCTGTGGGCCGAGGATAACCCCTAAAAACCTCATCTAAACCAAGGTTCCTTTCCCTTTTACTGTCCATTAGACTTGCCAGTATCCTCGGATTCTACACTGTACATTATCTTGGTTGGCCTTTGGAACCTTTTGAAAAACATTAATATATAGGGCCCCTATGAAACCAATTAGGGAAAATATCTAAGTATCCCAATGGCTAACCCAGTTATTCTATAAACCCTGTACAGCACTATAACGCCTTGTATAGACACCTCAGGCTTCCGACCTAAGCCTGACTGAGCAGCCAGTGCAGGAAGCCGAGGCGGTTTCTAGCTCTGTGACAGCAGCTTGCACGGCAGCAGGCAGAGGTTCTGCATCGGAAATCAGGAAGCGCACCCGCACCTATTTGGGGGCCCATGGGACTTAGTAACTGCGCATAATTGGGCTTATAACCCTACTTATCTCTCTCTCTCTCTCTCTCGNNCTTAACAGCAACCCAGTAAAAGGCTAAACCGTGGATACTGCCCCCATTGGGTAATAGTTGGAAAGTTACTGTATATATACATATTATGGACCATTACTGGGTGGGGGCAGTACCCTAAACCCTGTACCCGAAAACCTACATTCCGAACCCTAAGCCCTTAAACCCTAAAACCCTGAACCCCTAAACTCTGGAACCTCAAAACCCTTTAAACTCTAACCGCTAGAACCCTAAAACCCTAAACCCTAAAGCCCCAAACCCACAACCCCTAAACCCTCAAACGCAAAACCTTCTAAACCCCAAAAGCCTTAAACCCTAAGTCCCGAAACCTTACAATCTGAAACCCCAAACCCTGAAGCCCAAAAATCCAAGCCCCAAATCTTTAGAGCAACTTGCCATCTCTCGCAGGAGAGCCAGGAATCGCTTCGAGAGAGGAAGCGGAAGAATGATGTGCCAGGCTCACCGGTGTTTAGGGTGTAGGGTTTTAGCGGTTTAGGATGTAGGCTTGTTTAGGGTTTTAGGGCTTTAGGGGTTTAGGATTCAGGGTTTAGAGGTTTAGGGTTTTGGATTTTTGGTTCAGGGCTGCAGGGCTTTAGGGTTTTGATTTTAGGGGTTTAGGGTGTTGGGGTTTAGGTTGTTAGGTTTTAGGGGTTAGGGTTTATAGTTTTAGGGTTTAGGGCTTCAGGGTTTAGGGAGAAGGTTTTACTTACAGCTGGCTAGTAGGTCATGAGGGAATATTTTATCGAGGGATTATACACGTAGTATGTAGGGATTTTGTTTCCATATTCCGACCAACCACCAGTAAGCATTTTTCGGATTTACCCTAAACCCAAAACGGTCATATTGGGGTTAAAGAGGGATAATGGGAAATGCAATGGAAACTACTCTTTAGGGTTTCAGGTTTAGGGGTTTAGGGTATAGGGCTTGAGGGGTGGATCGTCCGATGTGCCGGGCGTGCTTAGTGTGTGCCTACGGCAGTTCCCAGCTTACCGTGGCCAGAGTCTGGGTTGAAAAAAGGGCTTGAAGCTGACGATCTGGGAATTAAGTCTAGGGCTTTTGTGGTTTGGGTTTCGGGCCGAGGTTTTAGGAATCAGGGTTTGGGGTTTAGGATTCAGGGTTTAGGGCATTCGATTCAGGGTTTAGGATTCAGGGTCTAGGGCTTCGGGCTTACTGCTTAGAACTTGGGACTTCGGGTTTAGGGCTTAGGGCCTAGGGTGTACTACGTGATATTTGACAGGTAGTGCGGGAACGGAATGTTCTACGTATTACTGCTAGCATTGCCTATATCCCTTTCCCCATTCCCTTCGAAGCTCCAGGAAGTTTGATGCGGAAAGAAACCTTAACCCAAACCATGGGCCAGTGCAGCTAGACTAGACCAGTGGATCGCTTGCAGGCCCAACGCAAATCCCTGAAGTCAAAAAGCGGGCTTTTGGTCCCTGAGCCGGAACCTCTTCCAGACCTAAACAAAGCCCCTAAGCCCAAACTTACCCCTCAACCTTAAACCCTGAACCCTAAACTTCGGGGTTATATTGGGTTACATAGGGTTTTATAGGGTTATAAACCCTGAAACCCTAAACTTAGGGGCTGGGTTATATTGGGTTACATAGGGCTATATAGGGCTTTCTCAGACAGAGGCCCCGGCATCTACACAGTCAAGCGCTATGGCGACGATTTGGGCCGGGAGAAGACAAAGATCATTGAGACTTGGTGGCAGGATGTGGCTGGAAATGGTCTAAACCCGAGCGCCCAAAATCCCAACTTCCAACCCGCTAGTCCCTAACCCTATCTAACCGTATTTGCCCCTATGCATCCCTCTAATTTTCAACCCCTTAGCCCCTAACCCTATCTAAGCTTATATGCCCCCATGCATCCCTGTATGTATGCCTGGGTTGTAGTGGGGTTTACTAGGATTCAGGGGTTTAGGGTTAGGGGTTTAGGGATTTAGGGTTTTGGGGTTCGGGGTATAGGGTTTAGGGCTGTTCTACGGGGTATCAGGGCGTAGGGATCAAGGGCTTAGAGTGTTAAGGAATTCCAGGCAGCTAGTTTCCTTTCTAAACGCCTTACCTGGCGCTTGTCGACCGCCCAGTCTCGATTAAGAGGCCGGATGTAAGGGCACCCACCTGGCAACTTCCTATGGAAAAGTCCCTAAACAATGCAATGGAAATTTCTCACCTCTCATGGAACTATTTTCGGAGCATCTATAATCAAGTATCGGTTTGGGGCGCTTCAAACTACAGGGGGGCATTATTTGGGAATATCTGTAATCAAGGAGCGGTTTGGGGTGCTTCAAACTAAAGGGGGAGGAGAGTAAGCAGGGAGCAGGGAAAGGACTTGGACTTGGCAGCGTTGCAGTTGACGATGAAAAGGTCAAAGCTTTGGCGGGGAGGGTTCTGACTGATGGGAGTTATAATGTAATATGCCTGCGAGGCGTTTTTCTGCAGAGCACTCACAACAAATCTGCACATTCATTTTCCGGCACGTTTCAGGTCTCCCGTCTTCCATATTCTCAGTTCCTTGTAAGCTCACCGTTTACTGAGACAGGTATCCTTATATCCCCGCGCAAGGCTGGGACCTAGCAGTATACTATCCAGCAGGGGCACCTTTCATTACAAGAGCCCTTAAGGTCCCAGTAGGTTCGAACACGCTTAACGGTTACAAGTTTACCGGTAAAGGTCCGCGAACACTCTTCCGTATGGAAATGCCTGAGTCTAAGAGTTCCGGCCCCATGGAGCAGCATGAGGGCGATGAGCGCATGGGGTCTCCCTGGGTCAGAGTCAAGGTAGAACATGTATTCCTAGACCACTTGCGGCAGCCAGAAGACGAACTCTTTGCAAACTACATTTTGCAACATGCTCGTGGGTTTCCCAACTCGTCCCGGGCCCTAAACGACCTGCCTGCGGGGTTCCCCATAAATTCACCTAGCTTATGTAGTCCTAGTTATCGTCACCTCTTTCAGGACTAATTGGCTGTTTTGCATTGTGAGGTACTGAGATCTTGTGATCAGAGATCTTGTGATCAGAGTAAGCCACCGGCCCCTAGCAAGCGTCATCTAGCAGATTCCTCTTAAAGGTTAAGGGGTGCTTGGCAACTATGCTTCCAACCTCCATAGCGGCATGCGATGGCAACTGCTGATGCCAGTCCTCCCTCGTGTTGGCCTACTTACGAAGACAGGTACAGACCATAAACCTCTAAACCCGAAATCCCGAACCTGGAAACGACTGAACACGAAACTGAAATCTGTATCGAGAATGCAGGCCCTGAACCTAAGCACAACGTTAGAGAGGCTTTAGGTCGCCTTTCCTCAGCATTTTGTACTCTTGCTTGTTCCAAATGCAATAAGGAAAATGGAAAACCATTCTGTGAAATGTCCCAAACACAGTAAGGACCACTGATATGTACGCATGTTTTGTAATACTTGCCAATGAAGACTCAGTCTCACCCCCTTCAGGAGCGGGCCGTTCGGAAGGGGCTTCGGTGTTGGGCAGCAGGACAGGGCTTCCGGATTCAAGTCCAGAGCAATTACCGGAGGGAAGCTCTTAAGACTGCATCTTACATAGGCCTTACTACACAGGGTGTAGAGTTTAGGAGTTAG